TACACATCAAGTCCCCAGCGATCACATCGGCCCATAGAATTTGTATTCTGATTGCTGATTTCTAATAATGAAAAAAAAAAAATATACATTTATTGTAAACACGTACCAGAAATGGCTCACAAAAGTATCCGAACGAAACAATTAATAGTTATTTAAATTGAACGATTAAAGGTTTTAATAGGAAGTTGATCCCCCTTTTGCTTTTATAACAGCTCCAAGTCTGTTTTCCATTGAGTGGACCAACTTAGAAGTAACATTTGCATCTATTGATTGCCATATTTCAATAATATTTCGTTTTAACACTTCTTTCGAAGTAACAACCGTATTTCTTAATCGTCTTTCCACTTCATCCCATAAATGTTCAGTGAGGTTTAAATCGGGACTTTTTTTTCGGTGGATGCGGGCACCACATTATACCATCCCTTGTTATATGTGTCATTTTATATCAAATGCTTCAGTTTAACACATATATTTCATTAATTGAATATTAGAAACGTAAGCGTTCGAATACTTTCGTGTATGAGTGTACATTGATATGAATCCATAGTAATGCTGGAATAAGAACGATGATCCAACTTTTTGATTTCTAATTTTTTGTACGTGCAAATTTGTTTAATATATTGCTCAAATTCTTCTAATTCAAATGATACCAAATACGACATGCTTTAAACCATATTTATTCATTATACGTATCTTATTTTATTTACGAAAAAAGCATTAGAGGCAACGTCAAAGAAGCCATGTGTATATATCATTCGAAAGAATGACTACATAGTAATGCTAGAATAAGAACGATGATCCAACTTTTTTATTTCTAATTTTTTGTACGTGTAAATTTGTTTAATATATTGCTCAAATTCTTCTAATTCAAATGATACCAAATACGACATGCTTTAAACCATATTTATTCATTATACGTATCTTATTTTATTTACGAAAAAAGCATTAGAGAAACCAATTCTGAACTACATATGAAATATTAAAGGCAACGTCAAAGAAGCCATGTATATATGTCATTCGAAAGAATGACTACATAGTAATGCTAGAATAAGAACGATGACTCAACTTTTTTATTTCTAATTTTTTTGTACGTGCAAATTTGTTTAATATATTGCTCAAATTCTTCTAATTCAAATGATACCAAATACGACATGCTTTAAACCATATTTATTCATTATACGTATCTTATTTTATTTACGAAAAAAGCATTAGAGAAACCAATTCTGAACTACATATGAAATATTAAAGGCAACGTCAAAAAAGCCACGTGTATATGTCATTCGAAAGAAAATATCAGCGAAGTTATGCTATTCGGGCCTACGTTCGACAGACACTAGTAAACCAGATGTTTTTATTCGAGCGACACTCGTAGGCCAGATGCCACGATTCGACGGAGAACTTGACCATCACAGTCGTTGCGTCTGGTCACGTACCTTGTAGCTCCACGGTTTTTCTTACTTGACTCACACCCAAACAAATCATTTTTTGCTGACTTCCGTAAATTTGCGGCGCGTGACGCATCGTACGCTTGATTGACTTCGACGAACCTTCGCATCAATGTAGCTAGAAAATATTGGGTTGGCAACTAAGTAATTGCCGATTTGTTCAATGAAATAAAAAATTTTTTTTTACTTGAAATGAAGTTTAATCTGTAACGTATTTTCCATTCTGTTCTATGACCTTTTGCCATCTCTCTGACAACTTGAAAATTCCACGCTCGTAGAAAGTCTGATCCTTTTCGGCCAAAAACTGAGTTAAGTGAGATTTTACAGCGTCATCATCGTTAAAAGTTTTACCACGAAGGGAGTTGTCCAGGGATCGAAATAAGTGGCAATCCGATGGCGCGAGATCAGGGCTATATGGTGGATGTAACATCAATTCCCAACAACATCCATCAATTTTTGCCGAGTGGACAAGGACGTGTGCGGCCTAGCATTGTCTTGGTGGAAAATGACACCTTTACGATTGACCAATTCTGGTCGCTTTTCCTTGACCGCTGCATTCAATTTGTCCAGTTGCTAACATTCACGGATTATAAAAAATAACATAATAATAATAATAATAATTTTATAATATAACATTTACGGATATCATAAAAATGGGAGTAAGAGACATCTATAACTGTGAAATCGGCAATTACTTAGTTGCCAACCCAATTGCACCGCGACTCTCATGATACCGCAAAATTGTGACACTGCTAGAGAAATTACTGCATGCGCTATATTGAAACATTAAATCATCTATCGATCATTGTTCGATGACCTTTTTTAACAGTCTCTAATAAACTGAGAATTTGTTAATAAATATTTCAGTTGCAATAGCTATTACAATTGTGATCTAACCGGCGGATCAAGAGTGACTGGTTTTTGTAATCCCTTTTTCAGAATTATCGTGTAAAAAGAGATGTTTAAGCTCGTTTCTAACGTAAACCTAGATACGACGTCTAGTTGTAAATAATATAGTTGTAAACAAGTATTATAAATGGTCTAAACGGATTAACGCGATAACTCAATTATAAGTTTTCTAGAGATTATACAACAGAAACTTCTCGCAATCGAGAGGAAACACGCAAACAGTGGTAGAAATAATAGTGCTCTTAAGCTCAGTAAGTTGTCAATGATAGTGTAACAATTGTTTGTACGACTTGCTATCTTCTGTATAAGATGTGAAAGTTATTCGTTACGTGAGCGATAATCGAAATCCATGAAACGAGAAACTAATTCTTAACACTAGATTTACGGAGCACAAAATACAGCTGTTTTATATTAGTTTATAAAAGTAACAATAAGACATTTATTCTGACTTTTTTAGCAAGCGTTATTGTAACATTTGCCGTAAATAACATATAAATTCAATAAATAACTTATAAATGTATCTTTACGATATGGATTATCGTAAATTATATATGAATTATATTATATAATATAAATATTATTATTATATTTTGTCGCAGGGGTTACTGCGACGGTTTATATAAAATAATCCGAGAGAGTTTTTTTGGTTCTTATATAACGAGAACTTTAATATAACTTGTAACAAAAAGGCGATGAGAGGTACAGTGTGTAAAAGGTAAAGGTAAACGAGTGACAGAAATATGGACACGTTGAGAGTCGGAGGAAAACTTGCTAACTGACGTCTCCCGGTCGAGAGGTCCTCGTATTTATTGGGGAGAACGTATTGAAATTGGTAAGGGAAAGTCCTTGGGAAGGGCGAAGGCCTTTCCCGAAGATTTTCCGACCGGGGTGATCCGGGACCTA